GTTTGGGGGGGATCCCAGGGAAATAGCTAAAAAGACGGAAAGTGTCGCAGCCTTGTCGTTAGGAACTTCTCATCCAAAGTGCCACAGTTCTTAGAAGCCAACCTCGGTTGCCTTGCAAGTAATAAAGCTGATTAAAACATGGAAATCATCCTGCTATGAAATAGTTTGTGGCTTTTTAAGATGTGACACAGGTCTCTTTCCTTAAAAATATCTCTCAGAATGAAAATGTTGGGAATTAACACTTCCAGAGGTTTTAAGGGAGGGGAGGAAAGTAAGTTTGGATTATTTGAAGTCCTACAGTCCCTGTTCAGTTTTATTTTTATCAGGCTTTAAGGTGCTTAGAGGAGGCTTTCGTGTCTCAAAATGCCTTTCAAAGATGTGTAACAGCAGTGAATGGGTGAACTGGGGGTTAACAATGGGTGAACTACTGGGTTAACAGCAGTGAATGGGTGAACTGGGGGTTAACAGTGGGTGAACTACTGGGTTAGCAGCAGTGAATCCACACCCTCCCTGGGCAGCCTGTTCCAGGGCTCTGTCACCCTCACTGTGAAGAAGTTTCTCCTCATATTTGAGTGGAACCTCTTATGTTCCAGCTTGTGCCCATTGCCCCTCGTCCTCTCACTGGGAACCACTCTTTGGTTAGGAAATTCTTACAAGCAAAATTTGGGATTCTTCATCTCTGGAGATGTTGAAAACCCGCCTGGACACGTTCCTGTGCAACCTCTTCTGGCAGGGGGTTGGATGAGATGATCTCCAGAGGTTCCTTCCAACCCCATAGCATTCTGTGATTTGTGGTGTTCTTAGTATCTTCTGTAGCTGTTGGTAATTGGTGAAGATGGAGTGTGAATGAGGAATCCAGTGAGTGTGATGTGGAGCTGCCTATTTCAGACCTTCCCAAGAACATTGCTTTAGGGAAACTCTCCCTTAAAACATCTTAGAATTGGATATCTGAACATATATGGTTTCTAAAATGATTTAAATTGGCTGACTCAAATCTGTGACGCTTTATCTCCTGCGTCTTCTGTGTTAGTGTTGCATTTTTAAATATCTTGCCTTCCGGTCTATAATTATATCAATTCACACTATTGATACCTACAATCCTCTCCTGTCCTCTCCTCCAATCCCCTCTCCGAGGGTCACCTCTGTAGCAGCAGAGGAGTTAACGAGCCGTGGTTCTGCCCTCCTAGCCCAGGTGATAAACCTTCAGGTGGAGCTTGGGCATTGCCTGTCCTTCCTCCTGGAAACCTCCATCCCCTGCTGAGCGAGCAGCGTCAGGAGCATCCTGCTACCTTCAGGGCAGGGGGCTGAAGCTGAGCCAGCAAAGGGCCAGATTTGGATATTTTAAGTTCCCAGTCTGACAATCAGAAAATGTGGTCCCAAACAGACAAGATGACTCACTATCTTAATTTCATTAACTCCCCCACCAACCTGGAAGAGGAGGAGAGGGGACGAATGACCCCTCAGCATCTCCTCTCGGAGCGTCTCTTAGTAGTTACGATCTAGACGAATTCCTGTGGCACATCAGGTTTGGGTTACGACTCTCTAATTCCCTCCAAATTGCTCCCTGGGAGATGAGGGAAGGAGCAAGTGTGTGGAAAACGAAGCAGTGGGTTGGTTTTCCCTGGGAGGCGCTTTGGACTTCAATAAGCCTTTCAGTTGTTTCCCAGGCGTGGAGGAGCTGCAGAGTTGCCTGCTGCTGCTTTTCAAAGTTAGGATTTGGTTATAAATCTGTTTTTCCAAGCAAACTGGCAGTCGATCGGCTTCTCCCCAGGTTTCCGTGAGGTGTTTGGGGGGGATCCCAGGGAAATAGCTACATAAAGCGTCCCAGCCTCTTTTCCGAGAACCGGGACGTCACCGTTGCGCCACGCTTTGGACTTTAATAAGCCTTTCAGTTGTTGCCCAGGCGTGGAGGAGTTGCCTGCTGCTGCTTTCAAAGTTAGGATTTGGTTATAAATCTGTTTTTCCAAGAAAACTGGCAGTCAATCGGCTTCTCCCCAGGTTTCCGTGAGGTGTTTGGGGGGGATCCCAGGGAAATAGCTAAAAAGACGGAAAGTGTCGCAGCCTTGTCGTTAGGAACTTCTCATCCAAAGTGCCACAGTTCTTAGAAGCCAACCTCGGTTGCCTTGCAAGTAATAAAGCTGATTAAAACATGGAAATCATCCTGCTATGAAATAGTTTGTGGCTTTTTAAGATGTGACACAGGTCTCTTTCCTTAAAAATATCTCTCGGAATGAAAAAGTTGGGAATTAACACTTCCACAGATTTTAAGGGAGGGGAGGAAAGTAAGTTTGGATTATTTGAAATCCTACTGTCCCTGTTCAGTTTTATTTTTATCAGGCTTTAAGGTGCTTAGAGGAGGCTTTCGTGTCTCAAAATGCCTTTCAAAGATGTGTAACAGCAGTGAATGGAAGTGCCACAGTTCTTAGAAGCCAACCTCGGTTGCCTTGCAAGTAATAAAGCTGATTAAAACATGGAAATCATCCTGCTATGAAATAGTTTGTGGCTTTTTAAGATGTGACACAGGTCTCTTTCCTTAAAAATATCTCTCAGAATGAAAATGTTGGGAATTAACACTTCCAGAGGTTTTAAGGGAGGGGAGGAAAGTAAGTTTGGATTATTTGAAGTCCTACAGTCCCTGTTCAGTTTTATTTTTATCAGGCTTTAAGGTGCTTAGAGGAGGCTTTCGTGTCTCAAAATGCCTTTCAAAGATGTGTAACAGCAGTGAATGGGTGAACTGGGGGTTAACAATGGGTGAACTACTGGGTTAACAGCAGTGAATGGGTGAACTGGGGGTTAACAGTGGGTGAACTACTGGGTTAGCAGCAGTGAATGGGTGAACTGGGGGTTAACAATGGGTGAACTACTGGGTTAGCAGCAGTTAGTGGGTGAACTGGGGGTTAACAATGGGTGAACTACTGGGTTAACAGCAGTTAGTGGGTGAACTGGGGGTTAACAATGGGTGAACTACTGGGTTAGCAGCAGTGAATGGGTGAAGTGACTGGGTAGTGGAAGGAAAGGTCTGAGAACTTCCATAACCACCTCCCTGGGGACTCTGCAGCTCCGTGGTGGTGATGGCTGAGGGGAGGCTGAACTGGCACCACACGAGCTCCCGGTTTGATCTTTGCTGCTTGTGTCAGATGGTCCTGTGAATATTGGGGGGGACACCAAATTATGATGGTGTGTAGCCCTGGAGGGGCTTCTTCAGAAGTTCTCATTAAAGTCAGTTGAACAGAGTTTTCATCACTCAACAGCTTTTTTCATGACAAATTCTAAAAGTCCTGATTCTCATGCATTGTGCGTTGGGTATTTTATTAGGGGAGGGGAGAAAAGATGCATTTAAGCTCGATATAGTTCTGTGTAAGGGGAAAGATGGTTGTGTGTGTGCTGGAAGAGCCCTGCTCAAGCGTGTGGCCTCCTGCCTGACTCCTGACTCTTTCCCCTCTCCTCAGACTATAGAATCCAACTGGCGATGCGGGCGACACAACCTGCAGAGGATTCAGTGCCGCTCCGAAAACAGCAAAGGTGTCTACTGTTTACAGTACGATGATGAGAAGATCATCAGTGGCCTACGAGATAACTCCATCAAGGTAAGGGCTTTGTTCAGTCTCCTCCCTGGAGATATTCCCCGGGAGGACAGGCTGAGAGAGTTGGGGGGTTCAGCCTGGAGAAGAGAAGGCTCCAGGGAGACCTTAGAGCCCCTTCCTGTCCCTCAAGGGGCTCCAGGAGAGATGGGGAGGGACTCTGGATCAGGGAGTGTCCTCCTGCCACCTTTTGCAGCAATGCTGGTGCCATCAGAGTGTCACCATCTCTTTTTAATAATTTCTGGGTCTGTTGGTTTAACTGCAAAATACTCTGGTGTTTGCTCTTAGTTTAACTTCTTCCACACTTCACAATCATTCATTTTTCTACCTCCTGCCACCTTTTGCAGCAATGCTGGTGCCATCAGAGTGTCACCATCTCTTTTTAATAATTTCTGGGTCTGTTGGTTTAACTGCAAAATACTCTGGTGTTTGCTCTTAGTTTAACTTCTTCCACACTTCACAATCATTCATTTTTCTATTTAATTAGTAAGCTGGAAACATAGTAGCCCGTTATTGCTTGAACTGAATTATCAATTATGTCATTTCTTGGTGCTACAGTCTCTTTTATTACCCATTGATTTGACTAAATATCTCCGTTTGAGGTGACCATCAGGGTGAGGGAGGTGATTCTACCCCTTCGCTCTGCTCTGGGGAGACCTCACCTGGAGCCCTGTGTCCAGCTCTGGGGTCCTCAGCTCAGGAAGGACATGGAGCTGTTGGAGCGTGGCCAGAGGAGGCCATGGAGATGCTGGGAGGGCTGGAGCCCCTCTGCTGGGAGGGGGGGCTGAGAGAGCTGGGGGGGTTCAGCCTGGAGAAGGCTCCGGGGAGACCTTCGAGCCCCTTCCAGTCCCTCAAGGGGCTCCAGGAGAGATGGGGAGGGACTCTGGATGAGGGAGGGGAGCCCTAGGAGGAGGGGGAAGGGTTTGACCCTGAAAGAGGGGAGATGGAGCTGAGCTGTGGGGAAGAACTTGTTTGGTGTGAGGGTGGTGAGAGCCTGGCCCAGGTTGCCCAGAGCAGCTGTGGCTGCCCCATCCCTGGAGGGGTTCAAGACCAGGTTGAAGGGGGCTTGGAGCAACCTGGTGTGGTGGGAGGTGTCCTTGCCCTGGGTGGCACTGGAGGGGCTTTAAGGTCCCTTCCAACCCAAACCATTCTATGATCATTCTGCCTTGGAGAGCTGACCACTCGTGTTCCCTTGGTGTCTCTTGTCTCCTCATGGGACGGTATTTATCTGGCAGGGGTTATGGGGATGGGATGTCTTCTGTAGCCTGGCAAAGTTCTCACCCACACTTTGCTCTGGAAGCTTTGGGGGCTGCCAACCAGAGATCAATACTGTTGACCACAAAGAGATACTTGAGACATCAGAGTTGACATGAATGAAGGATGTGTGTGCCACCGCCCTTAACTGTGTGTCTTTTGTCATTGCTAAGAGTTTGCTTTCACGCTAATTACCCGTGGCGTTTCCTTTTGCAGAACAGGCTCTTGTCTTTTCATGATCCTTGTTTTTTCCACTGTTCTGTCAAAAACTTGCATCAAGACTTCTTTAAGCTACAAGGGAGGAGAGACCCACTGGTGAGGCGGCCGGCTGCCCGTGGAGTCTTCTGCTCTCTCTAGTTTTCTGCCTTCCATCGCAGTTGCTGCCATGTTCAAGTCTCAGATCCCCATTCTTGATCTTGATAAGCCATTTCTGCTCGTTGCTTTTAACAGATTTGGGACAAAACAAGCTTGGAATGTTTGAAAGTATTAACAGGACACACTGGCTCGGTTCTTTGTCTGCAGTACGATGAAAGAGTCATTGTAACTGGATCGTCAGACTCCACAGTGAGGTGAGAGTTAAGTTTTTGAACAAAAATCATTTGAGTATCGGGACTGGGAATATTTATAATAATCTCTAAATATCAGCAAACATCCCTAATATGAATGTGGTACAAATATTCCAAACCCAAGATATTCATACTTGGCAAAGCATCGCATTCAATACATTTATTTTTTCCAAATCTGTCGCGTTTTTTGAAGTGTTAAGAATTTTGAAGGACTGTGACCAGAGTGATTCAAGGTGTGTCCTGAAGGGTTTCTTGTACTTTCTGACCTCTCTTAATTATGACTATTAATGGAAAGCTATTCGGTCTATATGGAGCACTTGTCTGATGACAGTTTTGGAGATACTGAGTTGAAATTCTTGTAGAATTCGGTGGTCAATAGATGTCCAGTATAAAGACACTCAGGTACAGTCCTGTGGAAGGGCCTTGTCTCCTCCTGGTGTCCTGCCCTGGTACACCAGTGGCAATTCTATAAAACTTCTCCAATTTAAGAGTTGTAAAACTGGAAAAAGCCAAAACATACTGGATGGTATTCCAGGTATAACCTGAGGAGAAATAACCCCCTGCACCAGGACAGGTTGGGGGTGACCTGCTGGAGAGCAGCTCTGAGGAGAAAGACCTGGGAGTCCTGGTAGACAACAAGGTGGCCATGAGCCAGCAATGGGCCCTTGTGGCCAAGAAGGCCAAGGGCATCCTGGGGGGCATCAGGAAGAGTGTGAGCAGCAGGTGGAGGGAGGTCATCCTGCCCCTCTGCTCTGCCCTGGGGAGGCCCCATCTGGAGCACTGGGTCCAGTTCTGTTTCCAAATGTTGCATTTTTTGAAGTGTTAAGAATTTTGAAGGAATGTGATCAGAGTGATTCAAGGTGTATCCTGAAGGGTTTCTTGTACTTTCTGACATCTCTTAATTATGACTGTTAATGGAAAGCTATTCAGTCTATATGGAGCACTTGTCTGATGACAGTTTTGGAGATACTGAGTTGAAATTCTTGTAGAATTCGGTGGTCAATAGATGTCCAGTATAAAGACACTCAGGTACAGTCCTGTGGAAGGGCCTTGTCTCCTCCTGGTGTCCTGCCCTGGTACACCAGTGGCAATTCTATAAAACTTCTCCAATTTAAGAGTTGTAAAACTGGAAAAAGCCAAAACATACTGGATGGTATTCCAGGTATAACCTGAGGAGAAATAACCCCCTGCACCAGGACAGGTTGGGGGTGACTGTATCATTCTGTGATCCTTTGGTATTTGATTTGGTCCGTTCCATTGATTTATATATCATACAAGTTCTAGTCGTCCTGGAGGAGTTGTACAGTTGTTACAGCGGTCCCAGCTTAGGCATTTCCTGGCCTAATTGTTCGTTGCTGAATTAGGATACTTGCCTTGCACCCTCCCCAAGCCCTAAGAGATGTTAAACACCCAGAGAGCTCCGTTAGAGATAGTCATAGACTTGTGCATGTTTAGGTTTATACCATGTGGAACCATCACCCTTCATTTGGAATAAAATCCTTTTCCCTTGCAGAGTCTGGGATGTAAATACAGGTGAAGTCCTGAACACGTTGATCCATCACAACGAGGCGGTGCTTCATTTGAGGTTCAGTAACGGCTTGATGGTGACGTGCTCCAAGGACAGATCCATCGCCGTCTGGGACATGGCATCCCCTACGGACATCACCCTGCGCCGCGTCTTGGTTGGCCATCGTGCTGCCGTTAACGTGGTGGACTTCGATGACAAGTACATCGTGTCGGCGTCAGGTGACAGGACCATTAAAGTAAGTTGGCAGAGCTCAAATCTAGGTTTGCACCCCAAAAAAAAGCCAGAAAAGCTGCTGAGGGCGTTCAGCTCTGAGTAGCCATGGTGTTTGTGGGCAGTTCTGTGCCTTTTCCTCCACCGCGCACCCGCTGCTTCCTTCTCCCCAGCTGTTGATGCCTGAACCAGGCTCAGAAACTTTTTGTGGCTTGTCCTACTATTGTAAAAAAAAATATAAAATAGTCAAGCCCGTTTTGCTGTCTTGAAATGGGTTTGTTTGCTAAATGTGGCCCATTTTGTGTCTTTTTCCAAGCGGTGTTTTTTCATTTCCATTGGTGGTCCCCTTCCAGACCTGAGCTCTCCCAGCAGTTGCCTTTCCTCACCGCGCCTTCACGGCAGCTCAGCCAGACCTCGCCACGTTTGAGGGATGAAGGGGCCGTGTTTGAAGGCTGTTACACACCTGGAGATTGGAGTTCCCCAGAGTGTATTAACCTAACAAAGGCGTTTCCCCCTTCTCTCTCTAGAAGCAGAGCTGCCTCGGGCTGTGCCAAAAAGCTCTTGGTGCTTTAATGCCCAAATATCTGCCAGAGATTTGGGAAACGAGCCACTGGGTACTCCACGTAACAACTTCAATTACAGTTCATTAAAAACGGGCAAAGTTGATTGAATGGCTTAACTTTAAGAAAGAAGCAGCCACCAAACTTACAGGCCACGGTTTTGGCCTTCTCTTGCCAGTAGGTTGCTGGCAGTGTCCTTGATGAAAAAAATGTGGGGGTTTTGTGTATGTGATAACTTCCTCTTTTGAAAACGTGTCCTAATTTATCAAGGTTTAAGTGTAATCAATTTTTTTAAATAATTTGGTGCAGTCTCTACCACCTGAAAATATTCTATATACAACCCCTCCCAGCTTTTCTGATGGACCTCACGTGCAGTAGTGGCTCTTGTCACCGCCGTGTCCCCAGGGCACTGTCTTCCATTAAGGCCAGGTTCCACTCTTTGCCCAGAATATTCCTATATGGGGGACGTTTCAGTCCCTTCTCCAGCAACAGTTGGCCTCAGACCTCTTCTGGTTGTGAATTCCTCACGGCTTGTACGGAAATTGAAACCCTTTGTTTGGGGGTGATTCTCAGAGGAGCCTTTCCCTCGTGTTTCCCAGGTCTGGAGCACAAGTACGTGCGAGTTTGTTCGGACTCTGAACGGGCACAAGCGTGGCATCGCCTGCCTCCAGTACAGGGATCGGCTGGTGGTCAGCGGCTCTTCGGACAACACCATCAGGTGGGTGCCCACGAGCTGCTGTCGGTGTGAAAACAGGATTTCCTCTGGGTGTGGGTGCTGTCCTTTGGTGTCGCGTGATACCAGAGCAGGTGAGGTACGACCGAAACCGAAACGGGTCTGAGAGTGAATGTGAAAACAGCATAATGAATCACAGAATCACAGAATCTTCTAGGTTGGAAGGGACCTTAAAGATCATCTTGTCCAACCGTCAACCTCACTGACAAAAATAGACACCCACACAACAAACAAGGAGCATCATCACTAAACCAGACCTCCCAGCACTACATCAACCCGTCTTTTGAACACCTCCAGGGATGGGGCCTCAACCACCTCCCTGGGCAGCCCATTCCAATGGCTGAGAACCCTTTCAGTGAAAAAATGTTTCCTAATATCCAGCCTGAACCTCCCCTGGTGCAACTTGAGGCCATTTCCTCTTGTCCTGTCGCCTGTGACTTGAGAGAAGAGACCGACCCCCATCTCTCTACACCCTCCTTTCAGGGAGTTGGAGAGAGTGAGAAGGTCTCCCCTCAGCCTCCTCTTCTCCAGGCTGAACACCCCCAGCTCCCTCAGCCTCTCCTCATCAGACTTGTGTTGAAGTTTCCCATAACATACATCACCCTTCACTTGTCTGTAATTTGAACAACTCCATACATCAGCCTTCACTTGTCTGTAATTTGAACAACTCCATTAATTTTGACACACTCCAGCTGCAGCACAAACTTACCTCCACATTCCTTGCAAGTTCTGGTGCCTTCTGAAGCACATTATGGGATGTCTCCTGGAGGAACCCGTTCCGTAACGCGAGGCCGGGGGTCAGCGCTGAGCCTGGAGTAATGGGAGCCTTTCTCCTCTCTCTTCCTCAGGCTATGGGACATTGAGTGCGGTGCCTGTTTAAGGGTATTAGAAGGCCACGAAGAACTGGTTCGATGCATCAGGTTCGACAACAAGAGGATTGTTAGTGGAGCCTACGATGGGTATGTTTTTGAAAGGAATTTTTTAAAAATTCACTTTTCTTAGTGAATCTTTTCTTAGCATCTTTTGAAAGCCATTGAGCCTTGTGTAAGGGCTCCTCTGATTTGACCAATGACACAGCAGGCTGCGGTTTTAAGTAGCCAAGAAAGTGCTTTTGTGGTGCTCTTCAGCACACTCCTGAATGGTGTTATCGCTCAAGTTTGACTGTCCGTGGAAAGTAAACTTTAGTTTGGCTGAAGTGACGGCCACTCTAAGAACATTCCTTTGTTTCTTCCCTCAGGAATTGTTCCTTGCCAGTGTGCTCAGAGCAGTTTTAGGCTTTCTATTTTTGTAAGCCAGCAGCACTCCAAATATTTATTGTGAGCGTAAATATATCTCGTGTGGCTCTCAGTGCCCGTCTCTGGTAGGCTGGAGGCAGGACCCCCACTGTTAGTGCTTCTGACTTGCTTTTTCAGTGTGTCCTGGATTCAGGACAGCCTATATCCATGGCCAAATTCTCAGTTTCTTCCCCTGCCTGATTTATACTTGAAGTGAGCAGTAGAGTTATGGAAAACAGTGCTTGAGCTGTGTTTGTCTCCAGCCTTTTATCTGGGTTGGGTGTCTCCCAGGGGTGGCAGCCCCAGCTCAGTTCCCCTGGGGATTTTGCACCTCCTGGGCAGAGCTGTGAGCCCTCCAGCTCCTCTGCAGCTTTGTCTTTTGTGTAACCAACTTCCCTGGTCCATCACAGAGACAGCACTGCAGTTCCTGCTAAAAGGAAATACAGAACTACCCGTGTTTTTAGAAATTTAGTATTTTAGTGAAGATAGATTCTAACTTTTAGCTTGATGCTGCTGAACTAGCTTTGGGAGAATCTGGCCTGCTTCCCACTGCTTGAGATGTTTCTTCTTTGCTTCTACTTGAACCAACTCTCTCATAATGACCTTCTCGTTTTTACTTTATAGCAAAATTAAAGTTTGGGACTTGCAAGCTGCTCTTGACCCTCGTGCCCCAGCAAGTACATTATGCTTGCGTACGTTAGTGGTATGTAAAGCTCCTTCCTCTGGGGTTACCTGCAGCCTTTTATTTCTGAGTGAGAGGCATTTGATGACATTGTAGTGGGATAGGTGAGAAACTCGGGATGTTTTATAAAGCAAGTCTAGGGTGCTGCTTATTTTAAGACTAAAAAACCCACCTATATGTATTGTTATATCCTGAATGATTTGGATCTGAGCATTAAAAGAAAGATCAAGTTTTTCTAGTTTGAGATTCTCAGATGCTCTTAAAAAAAACAAACAAAAAAAGAACAAAAAAAACCCCTGACACTGTCAAATAATTGTAGTCATTGGTGTGTTTTCCTAATATCACTCTAGTGCTGGCTTTAAATTTCCTCTTACTAAAAAAGGGGGAGGAATCTTGTGAGCCTTTCCCAACACCTTTCTCCTGACCCTTGGTTTGGAGGGAAGGGATGTGAAGAGGGAAGGGAGGGTGAGTTGATCTCACACCACGGGATCTCACATGGCTTCAGGGGACTGTCAGATTTCAGTTATATTTTCCTTTTCCATGAGGGTTTTGGTTTGTGACAGTAGACTTAATTAAAAATAAATGAGGGAAAGGAGTTCATTGTTCTTTTCACTGAAATGTGCATGAAGTTTTACTTCAGGAGCCAGGTGTTGGCTGTTTGGTAACTGGTTTATTCAGCATGTGCTTGACTTTTCCAGCACCTAAAGAAGCGCTCACACGGCCAGAAATGCTTCTGATTTTTCTTTCTTTTCAATAGTCTTTGCACAGAGATGAGATTTCACAGTTCTTTTATTCCATATCAACGTGGTGCAGTTAGTTTTAGTGAAGAAGTCGATTCTTTCCCTTCTGTGGGCGTTCTGTAGCTCCGGTGGTAGCTCCTCCTGCCCTGCTCACCCATGTCTTGTTGCTCACAGGAACATTCGGGACGTGTCTTCAGACTCCAGTTTGATGAATTTCAGATCATTAGCAGTTCCCACGACGATACAATTCTCATTTGGGATTTCCTAAACGTGCCACCCAGTGCCCAGAACGAGACCCGCTCTCCGTCTAGAACATACACCTACATCTCCAGATAACAGTCTGCACTTTACTGCCCTCAGAAGGTAAGGCTCCCTCGTGGGGGTGTTATCAGTCTCTGAAATTACCTCTCTGCCTGCAGGTCTCCTTAGTCAAAGCAACGAGGTGATATTCCACCAGGTGATGTTTTCCTTAAGAAAACATACTTATTTACGCCACCTCTTTCACTATCTGGTCTTTGTGGGTCGTGCTTCAGTTTATAACAGGTGTCAGGTTATCTTACCCCCTTCTACATTTCATGGAAAGTTACTACATGTTCATAGTATTTTTGGAAATGGAGGAGATTTGGTGTATTACACAAGAACTCCAGTTCCCTGTGGAATCAGAGCCTGTTAGAGTTCTTGATGGATCTGGTCACTTTGTGAATCTTTATAACGAGCATTGTAATGCGTCTCCCGTAAACTGAACACATGTGTGGGATCTTTGGATAAATGCTCCTCAGAAACGAGCAGTTCTGAGATAACCACAAAGGGTACAAAAGCTGAAAATGACACTGTGTTGGGCAGGGAGATGGCTCGGAGCTGTCAGAAAAGCAACACATGAATTTTGCCTGTTTTGTTTCCGTTTTTCTAAAGTTGGCTTCACTCAGCTCGGGGTGAGAGCTCCGCTGTAGATCTGTGTGTTAGGACAGAGAGGATTCTTTTCCTTAAGTCATCTCTATTCCTGCCAACAATTGCACTTTGTGCTATAAATAGCCAGAGGTGGAAGGAGAGGAGTCGCAGCGCCCCGTCTCTGCCCCCGCTGAGCCCCGATGCTTCCAGGGAGTCAGGAGGAGCCCTGCCCCAGCAGGAAGGACTGATTTGATTTGAAGTAGATAATTAATAGTTTGCTTAAACGTTGTGGGAAACCCCTGTTTTCGTGTCAGCAGGGATTTTCATTATCTACCTGTATGTCTATCCCTGCTGCGGCCGAAGAAAAAAATGCAAAAATCTATATGAATTACAATTTTGGGTTGAATCGTATATTAATTTTGCAGAAGAAATGAAAAATCTCTACTTACATAGGGAAGGACTGATTTGATTTGAAGTAGATAATTAATAGTTTGCTTAAACGTTGTGGGAAACCCCTGTCTTCGTGTCAGCAGGGATTTTCATTATCTACCTGTATGTCTATCCCTGCTGCGGCCGAAGAAAAAAATGCAAAAATCTATATGAATTACAATTTTGGGTTGAATCGTATATTAATTTTGCAGAAGAAATGAAAAATCTCTACTTACATAGAAAAAGGGTGGAAATAACACAAACACACTCCTACTTTTCCTACTACAAGAATATTGCACATTCCAAAAGTGTTGCACAAATTACTGGGTTTATGTAAAGACCATATATGAGGTATTAGTCTATTAATAAATAAAGAAGAACATGGAAAAGAAAAAGCACTTAATATAATGCAACAATCCATTCCAAATATTTAGTGAATGAAAACTGAACAAGCAATATTACGGACCCTGGAGGGGAAGATTAAAGTTACTGAGCAAATAGGCAGCTTTCAATATCCATCCGAGAAGCAAAGGGTTAAATCTCTTTTGATAACGTTTTTAATAACTCAAAGCCTATTTAGAACACTGCTGTTTAGAATGCTCATTTTGCTCATTAATCAATCAGGGTTCCTGATTGTTCCTCAGGGTTTTCACTCCTCCTGGAGGATCTCTGCTTCTGGCTGGGAAATACCTTCCCTTGTGGAGATACACTTGGAGATGTCTTAAAAATTAGTTTTCTTTCAGCTTTCAGCATTCCTCAGGGAAATGATGGCTGCCTTCCCTAAAAACTCAACTCCTACACCTTTTAAAAGAAGCCAGGATAACGTCCTCTCTGGATGGGACACTTGGAATGGGTGGCTCGTTACGTTTCACGGAAGGTCAAAGCAAAATGCTGACCATTGCTAGACTGAGTTGCCTGTCTCTCTCAAACTGTAATTACTTCATATAATTAGGCCCATAATTAAAGAATTTTTATGGTACAACGATAAGCTCGTGTGCCAAATCAGTGGTTAATGGAAATTTCCCTTAATCCCACATTTTAAGAGCAAACTCATGGTCGTCCTTCTCCTGCTGCAGTGGGAGAGCAGAGCCCTGAGAGGGCTGAGCTGCCGGATGCAGCGTCTCTCCGGGGCAGGGAAGCGACTAAAAACCACAATTTTCTGGGAGGAAAATCCCCAAACTCCCCAAAGTTTCCTCCGGCACTGCTTAACCCCTGCCTTCTGCTCCAAAGTGCTTGGGTTTGATCCGGGGTGAGGTACTCGTGTCCTTGTTGTGGGAGGTTTGATGCTGTCACTGGGGTGGTGTCCACGGGGGCTTCGTCCTGCTCCTGGGCCCGTACCTGAGCGAACTTCTGCTGGGGGAACTCCAAGGCTGGTTGAATTTGAGTGGTTTTCCCTCTCTACAGAACACTTTTTTCCCCCCTTTGCCTTTCCAGGCAGATAGAACAGGCTTAGGTGAGAAGATGACACTAGTTTTAGGCACGATCTCCATCTTCCCAGTTCAGACACCACTGCTTTCTTCCGTTAACTTACAATTTAAGATCGACACAGTCTAGGCTTGGTTTTTTAAAAAAAAAATCCAGAACTCTATTTGGCAGCCTGCTTTTATTACTTTTGACTGATGGAAAAGCGATACATAGCGTGTCTTAAACACAAAAGAAATTAGGAGTTGAATAAAATCTCTCTGGGATCTCTGGAGCAGTGATGTGGGTGCCTTGCTTTCCCCCACTGCCATCAGTGAAATCCAAACTGCCTTTGGCAGCGTGTTCTCCCCTTCACATCCTGCCCACGGGCCAGCGCCGCGCAGCTCCTGGCTGAGGGGACACTCAGCCCTCCATATCCTGGGAGTTACTGGTGTTGGTAACGACAGCCCACTAGTAATTATGTCCCATGGAGGGGAGATGCTGGGATGTCACTTTTTGACAGGTTTGTCCAACTTCAGAATCCCCAAACCCATAAATCTACATGAAATGACGGTCAAACAGCTAATATTTCATGATGACATTTAATGAAAGAGTTTTATATGCTTTCAAACATTGCAGTTTTCTGAATTTTGAAGCAGCCCTGTATGCTTTTTTTACGAGGCTGTGCCTTTACAATGTTGTGCCTCTTCAAAGAGGATCAGTTCTGACAGTCCTGGCGGTTGGCTGCGAGAGGTTTTATTGCTTTCTGTTGAATTCCTGTTGTTTATTGCAACACGATAAAAATTGTTACCATATGATAGTCTAATATTCTTATATTAAGCGCTAGACCTCGGGCTGGGGGAAGGGAAATCAAGGGGAAGTGCCCAAAGATGGTTTAACCTTCCATGGGGGTTTCATAGCAGAAGAGGGAAGTTCTCCCTGGTCCCTAAAAAGGGGTTTGGGAAGTGACAGGTAAAATCAAAGTTCAGATTTAATCACGGTAGGAACTTGATCCAGGCTAATAATGGAGAAAAGGGAACTGAAATATAAAATTACTTGGGTTTTTTGTCCGTTTTCTTAAAAACTTGTGGATTAAAGCAGCTGAAGGTGTACCCTGTGCAAGAGTTGCTCCTCTGCAGCGTGGAGAAGGAAGGAGGATCTTCTCGTGGTTGTGTGTAGGTCACTGTTCCAGTCAACAGCGTTGGGCGTTTAGCGAGACTGGCTGGTGGGGCACCTCTTAGTCCTCAAGGGGGTGTTTGGGTCTTGCTATATGTAAGAAAACCACCAACCTGTTGGTGACCCCCAGGGAGTAGAGCCACTGAGAGTCTTGCTTCTGCTTCAGCTGAGTCAGAGCACGTTCTCCAAGGAAGGTGGTCTCCTGGGGGGGTGCATGTCCCCTCAAAGGAAGGACCTTGCAGCATTTCATGGGGACCCCCCTCTGCAGCGCCTCGCACAAGGGTCACGCTCCTCCCAGGTGTTTTAGTCTCAGCCTGGAGCACAAAAGATGGTGAGGGCCTGACCCCCCCCCAGATGTCTTCAAATGTGGCGTTTTGCTCCGTACCTGCTGTCGGTTCAGCTTGTCTTTTGTCTTTTTCAGGGTTTCACAGTCTTGAACTACTGGATTTTTTTGGCTACTACACGCCTGAAGATGTTGATTGACAGCTAAAGTCAGAATTGGTTCTAGATGCTGTGTTAGATGCAAAGCAGCACAATTCTATATCTAAATTTCTTAATCTTTTCCTGCTCTCAGTGGTCGTCTTTGAATTTACTCCAAATTCACTGACTTCGAGTAGATGAATTTCAGAAGCCTGTCCTTCCCTGCAATGAGAAATCCAAAGCTTCACATGTAAATTGTCCGTAGAAACTGAACTCTGATGGCTTGTTTTTCAGAAATAAATCAGAAGTCAAGAAAGGACTTGGCCTAATTTATATTGCTTTGCACTTTTGTCTGACTTTAAAGAAAAACAAACAAACAACAAAAAACAAACGTTCTCCAATGAAATTTGGGTGCCAAACACATACCCAGAATGTACAGAGCTTTGCTTTCAAAAGTCACCGTTGTCCTTTAGACTTTACTCTCATGACAGATTCAGAGCCTGTTGCGTTCGGTAGGAGTGTACGTTGGACTCTTAGAAATATTTCTGAATTGCTCAGTAATATTTTCTTCATTTTGTTTTTTTTTTTTTTTTTTGGATTTACAGTTTACTTGTTTCTGCACCAATAATTTCTTTTAAATTAAAGATTTTACCTTGTAATTCAGGCTAGGTTATCTGAACTAGTTGTATAGCACTGTCTGTTGGGTTTTTTTTTTCCCTTTTCCCTGTACTCCAGCCGTCCTTCGCTTCCTAATGTCCGGTAGAGTAAAACCCCCCCACGTGTGCTTGCCTCATTTCCAATACTGTATCAGCATGTAGATATAATGTACATAACAGTCACACCTCCAGCTGCTGGGGGTCAGGATCTCCTGACACGAACACACTAAAGACGAATCGTGGTAGCACTTGGCAGCAGGATGTTCTAACTACTGGCACTGGAGGGGTTAACAGGAGTTACCGAGACGTTTTTGTGTTGGTTTTTTTTTTTCTCTCTGCAAAAAGGAGGTTTTTTCAGTATTCGTTAGGATTTTTTTTTTTTTTTTAATGGGAACTACATATTTTAAAAATGTAATTTCTAAACTTTTTAAAAAAAAAATTAAAAAAAAAAATACTGTTTAATTTATGTTCTGTATCTTATATTTTTGTGGCGCAGTATTTCCGGATGTCTCTCTGTTGACACCGGCAGGTCCCTCACGGCCGCCTGCCGATGTCCTTCCTGCTCGATGGAGAAGATGCCATGGGCCAAAGTTACAATTTATTTATGTGTTAACTCTTCCTTACGGTGGAGCGCAGGTTCCCTTCCAGTCAACGCTCTGGTTACCATGCTCATTAACCATGCTAATTACCCTGCTAGTGATGTTTTTTCCCCCGTAGCTGTTGGCCGTGACCACGTTACGATGTCCAGGTCACGGTCCCTCTTCGTTAGGGAGTCTCAGTGGTTTCTTCTTGTGTTGGCATGGCCTCCCCTCTAATTTATGTGGCCATATAAACACCGCTGCATTTTTCCTGGGTCGGAGTAAGACAGGGATAAGTGCCACGGTGACAGTTTTGGCCACGTGTGACTACGCCCGTCGGTGGCTTTTCCTTCCTGCTGCGCCCGAGCTCAGCGGGAAACGGGCCCCTTTTCCTGGGAAAGATGCTGCTCAGAAATGTGTTGCCTGTTCCTTTGATCCTTTGTATGTCCTGTATTATTTTTTTTATTTTTTTTATTTTTTTTGGGTCCTCCGGCAGCGCTTTGGGTTTGTGTTTTTTCCCTTCTGCCATGAGGAGGGGTAGGGGATGTCGGGTGGCCGAGGGGTGGCCCTGGAGGGACCCTGCAGCGTTTCAGAGCAGAGTAGGTGGAGGTGTCACCAAACCCCCATGTGGGTGAGGCTGAAGGCTCTCTCCTCTTCACCCTTCAGACAGAGAGAGGTGTCGGGATCAGTGTTTTAAGTTAAACTCCCATTTCCGTGTTACTCCTACGATATTTATTTCGTCGAGATGAGCGAATGTGATGAAGTACAGAAGATTAAAAACAGGCTCCCAAGCGTCCATAAGATCATTTTTAAGATCTTTTTTTTTTTTTTGGTAAGCTTGACAGTAGTTCGTGAAAAGTGTCTTACTTTACCCTTCTCATCTAATAGCTTTAATATTAAACTGTTTAAAAAGAATTAAAAAAAATAATCTGTCGCAGCCCTGAAGAAAAAAAGGTATTTGTTTCCGAAGAACGGAGTCCTAATTTTTTTTTTTTTTTAAAAATGCATGTGTAAGATTTAAATTCCTGGTTTTTTTCTTTCCTTGGGAGATAATGATATTTGAACATGCAGTCTCAACTTCTTTGTGCTTTGTGTAACATAGCAGTGGACTTTTGTGATTGGCACCCAAGGAACTCGACTCCTGGGATTAATGGTAGTGATCCTGGCTGCACTCTGGACTTCGTTTCGCTGACCATAATTGAGCAAGTGTACATTACTGCTATATTAATGTTTCCAAGCACTGGGATAGTCTAATTCTAACTTGTAATTATGTTTGCCAATTATCTGTTTGGAAAGTTGGTGTATGAACAGCTTCTTGAAAACTGTTAAATTGTACAGAATATCGTTCATGATCTAAAGCTTTGTACTGTGGAATGTGCTTAATAAAAAAAAAAAAAAAAAGAAGTTTGAACTTAACTTGTCAAATAAATGGCTAAGTGATGTCATTGAACGCAGCGTGGGGACCAGGCGTGGGTCAGGGCTCCCCTTTGGGCCACCTCGGGTGCTGGTGGGGTGAACCCAGGGGGTGTCTTTTCCCACCCCAGTGGCTCGGCAGCAGCCCCCAGGCCAGGGAATTCCAAAAGGAAGTGGAATTCCGAATGCCAGAGGTGCCCGTGGTGGCCCTGGCACGGCCATGGGCAGCTCCAAGGTGGTTTTGTTCCCTCTCTCTGTTCCAGCTCGTTCCTTGGGAGGAGGCGGAGAAAAACGGAGCTGAGGCAGTGCCCCCCTCGCAGAGGAGCTCTGCTGGGGCACTTCGGTCACACATCAGCAGGAACATCACTAGGAGAATTTTTTTCTTACTTTACCCAGAAGGTAGATAGAACTTTTCAAATATTACTGCTCCCTTTGTTGCTGAAGCCATCTGTGTTCACACCCCGAGCCCTGTGCAGGTAAAGGCTTTGCCAGGGGTAGCTCGGCCTCAAGAATAACTATTTTTTGGTTCTTCTTTAGCTAATGAGCAGTGAGAAAGAGCCACTCAAAGTTCTCCTCTTGGCCCTCCATCCCCTGGTCTTCTGTCAGGAGTCTGAGTTGTGAGTTAAGTTCCCTTTTAAACAATTTCAGAAGCTGTGGGGCTGGTGAGTTGCTCCAGTTGGTTCCTGAAGGGCCAGACCAGCCGCGATGGCTCGTGCCGGGGGTGCCACCAGCACAGGGGACTGGCCAGCAGCTCGGTGGCTTCTCAAGCTCCAGGTATGAGGGCAATGCTGGGGGTGACAACGTCTTGTTAAATCATTGTGCTGCTTGAGCTTTGGGTGCCGACCGTGGGGGCTCACAGTGATCTTCTCTAAAAAGTGTTATTTTTGGGAAGGTGTACGTTGGAAGCACTGGCCCAAAATGTGTTTAAAGGTGCTATAAAGGGTGCTGAGAATCTGATCAAAGTTCTGGCCAAGTGTTGGTAAACTCAGTCTTCATGAAATGTGTTTAAAGGTGCTATAAACCGTGCTGAGAATCTGGCCAAGTGTTGGTAAACTCAGTCTTCAAAATTTCTCTCTAATGTAGATTATTTTTTAATCTTCCTGGCCCACTCTGACGCTGGAGAATGATTTTTGAAGCGACGTTGGTGCTGCTCAGGCCGTAGCTGCGCTTCAGCGAGAGGAGAGCCAGTAAAATCTCCTGTATTTTGTGCTGGAGGAGCGTTGTAAAACATGAATTCTTGAAAGGGGTTGTGAATGTCCTGCTGAACATCGTTAGCCAAATAAGCCGTAAAAGCTCTGTGATGTATCTGCTAAAATCTGGAGTATAAACTTTGAGGTCAAACTTTTAAAATTCCATCTTTACCTGGGTGGCCTTTGGTTTTGGTTGTTTTGTTGGGTTTTTTTCCCCCTTGCAGTTGTAAGGCTATTTAAGAGTCATCTGTTAATTCCCAGCGGGGAACTTCACGGTGGAGCTGTGGGGGCACCTCTCTGCGGGGTGCTCCCACCCATCCCGCTGCGGTCTGGGGGGCCCCCTTTTTTGATCCAGGTTGGGAGGAGGAGCTGGGCTGGCCCCAGGGCCAGGAGGGAGCTGGGACCATCTGGCCCTGGTTAAGGAGAAGCCGTGGATCATTCCCAGGCTGTGGGTTTGGAGGTAGCACTTGGCCACGTTGGCTGCTGTTCGGGGCTCACCCCGCTCATGGCCTTGCCAGGCAGCACGTGGCGTCGCTGTCTTGTCCCCTGATGCTCTTGGGGCTGGGGGGACCTGTCGGTCCTGACTGCTGGTGGCTTTTTGGAATGAGGTGGAGGAGGAGGGGGTGAGGTCCCTCGGTGCCCTGTGTTGGGGCGAGCGATGCTTTTGACATATCACAGAATCACAGAATCTTCTAGTGATGCTCTTGGGGCTGGGGGGACCTGTCGGTCCTGACTGCTGGTGGCTTTTTGGAATGAGGTGGAGGAGGAGGGGGTGAGGTCCCTCGGTGCCCTGTGTTGGGGCGAGCGATGCTTTTGACATATCACAGAATCACAGAATCTTCTAGGTTGGAAGGGACCTTAAAGATCATCTTGTCCAACCATCAACCTAACTGACAAAAATAGACACTCACACAACAAACAAGGAGCATCATCACTAAACCAGACCTCCCAGCACTACATCAACCCGGCTTTTGAACACCTCCAGGGATGGGGCCTCAACCACCTCCCTGGGCAGCCCATTCCAAGGCCTGAGAACCCTTTCAGTGAAAAAATTGTTCCTAATATCCAGCCTGAACCTCCCCTGGCGTAACTTGAGGCCATTTCCTCTGGTCCTGTCACCTGTGACTTGAGAAAAGAGACCGACCCCCACCTCTCTACACCCTCCTTTCAGGGAGTTGCAGAGAGCAATAAGGTCTCCCCTCAGCCTCCTCTTCTCCAGGCTGAACACCCCCAGCTCCCTCAGCCTCTCCTCATAAGACTTATTCTCCAGACCCCTCACCAGCTTTGTCGCCCTTCTCTGGACCCGCTCCAGCACCTCAATGTCTTTTTTATGGTAGGGGGCCCAAAACTGGACACAGTACTCAAGGTGAGGCCTCACCAGTGCCCAGTACAGGGGGACAATCACCTCTTGGGCCCTACTCCCCACGCCATCAGGAACTGTCCCCCCTTGTGCTGAGCATTAGCGTGTCGGGGCAGCAGAGGGCTTGGCTGCTTCGGCGCCGCTGTGGGCATCGACTGGCACGAGGACTGGAGGGGACAAGCCCTCAACAGAGACCTACAAATTACTTTTATGAGATTCTTTTAAAACTCCCACCTGAAGGTGCACTGCAGTGGGCTGTTGTACTCCAGCTGTGACTCCCTGGTTTGGGGTCGGGGGCTCCCCGGCTCCAGTTTTCCCCCCAGAGTGCGGTTCTCCAGCCTCATCTGTCACCCCAAGGAGGTGGCTGCCCATCTGTCATGGCCAGGACGGGTTGCTGTCACCTCTCAGTGTGTGCAGGGAACTCACCCTTGGCTTTTCCACCAAGGTAAGACCTTCCCGGGGACCTGCTAAGGGAGAAAGGCTCCTCTGAAATGGGACACAGCTCAGCCTGGGCCAGCTGTGGGGGTTGGAGCCACGGTGATGGGCTTAATTGGCTACAAATGTGCTTCAGCCAAATTAATCAATGGGAAGTGGGTTGAAGGAGGTGGTGGGAGGGAGAGCAGCAGGAGGGGTGTCCATGGGCTGAGCAGGAGATGTTACAAACAGTCCAACCTGGAGCTTTCTTCTTGGTGGTGCAGAGCTGAGCGCTCTGGACTTGAGTTTTTGCTTGACTTTGAACCTCTCCCCTGCTGCAGAGTGGTGGTTCCTTCCCAGATGCCTGCTCGTCGTTTCCCTCTGCTTCTCTCCATCGCCAGCCGTGAGAAGGAGGAGACTTGAGGAGGAGGTGAGCACAGGGCTGCTGGGCTGTGGGAGGGAGGGTGAGGAGACCCCATGGAGGAACCTTGCAAAGCCAGGGAGCACTGGGATGCAGAGGAACACCTCACTTCCCTCACCTCTGTGAGCCTGGCCCTATTTCTGTGGAGTCTGATGGTGCCAAGTCTTCTCCCTGGCCTGGGGAGGGCAGCAGGTCCAGGGAATGAGTCTGTATGAGGAAAGGTTTAGAAACTGTTCTGGGGGTCAGCTGGAATCAATCCTGGAGGTGCTCAGCACAAGGGTCAGCTGGAATCAATCCTGGAGGTGCTCAGCACAAGGGTAGCTCAGGGCCAGCAATGTGCTGGGGAAGGGGAAGAAGGTGGCAGCACGTGTCCTCTCCTACCCAGACCCACCAACCAGGGCTGCTGGGGCCAAAATGTTGTTTTACCCTCAGCCCCCTCATGACTGAGGCAGTGTGTGGCTGTTGGCTAGTAACTAGGGCACAAAGAGGCCATGGGATGGCAACAGGAGGGCTGTGCTGAGTGCTTGCACACTCATGACATGCTCTGAGGGCTCAGGAGGCTACAGGGGACTGGGTTTGCAGCTACTGGCTGGTTTGCAGCTCTCTGGTCCAGCAAAGGCTTTGGTGTCCCCAACTTTTGAGCCACTTCCCAAGTGTGGGTGCTTCCTGCTGGCTGCACAGGACCATTAATCGTGTCAGGGACCACCTTGTCCTGGCCCCTTTCCTCACCTGCCCAGCAAGTGGGAGCTTTCCTGCCCCTTTTCCAAGGGATGTCCCTTTTGTCCCCATGGGTTGAGGTTGCCCTCTGTCTTCCTGAGCTCCTTCACCCCTGAGGCAGTCACTGCTCTCCCCTTCCAAGAGCTGCCGAGCTGCTGCTTGCTCAAGTCGGAAGCATCCAGGAGGATCAGAAACAGCAACTTTCCCTTCTGGAGAAGCACGAGGGGTGTGTATTTTTGGAGGTTTATTCTTGGTACTTGCTGGAAAGGCTTCACAAAGAGCAGTGGCCACGCATGCCAACTGGAGGAGAAGACGGATGGGGATGAGCTCCCTCTTTGGGGAGACGTTTCCCCTCTGGAGGTGGAGAACAAGCTGTGAAATGTTCCCTGTGGTGTTTATGGATGCACCGTGCAGGCGGCCGTTGCTGGGCTCCGGCACGTCCCTGTGAGATGTGTCAGTGAGGGAAGGGCATCCCTTCACCCCTGCCAGGAGCTGCCCCGGGAGGTGAGGCAGCCCCCGGCTGGGTGGCCCCTTTCTCTCTGGAGACAGGTCTCGGGCTGAAGTAGAAACAGCTTTTCCTCCTCTGAACGATGTAAAGAATCGCAATTTCATCTTTTCCTTGGCAGAGGCCAGTGCAAATAGAGTGAGATGCGTTTGTATCTCTTGACTAGCTTTTTTCCACAGTCGAAAATTTTGTATTTTCTTTTCCTCTTTTTTTCTTTTTTTCCCCTTTGAAGGAGCCCTTTGAAGGTTTTACTTTTAATTTCCGTGCACATCGTGCTCAGAAGAAAAACTTGCTTTTTTTCCCTTGAAGTCTTCCACTGAGATGGGCTGGCACTTCCATGTCAGAGGAGTGGGCGAGCTGGAG